TAAGGGATTTTGGTATCTACCTTGACTTAATTTCTGTTGGAACTCGTGGTGAGCTTTCTGATTGTCTTCGGACTTATTGTGCTGTTTATTTTGTGCGTGATAACTCTGATTCGTGTTGGAATAACCACTTAAAATGGTGGTTGGGTTAGCAATTTGCTGATAATTTCCCATGTTCCTACGATTGTTATTTGGATTTCCCTGAACATTATTATTTTTAGGTTTTTCAGTAACGCTATTTTCATATAATCCCTCTCTTTGAGCTACTTGCTTTAGTTTTTGTGTCGACGTAATGTCGTGTCTGGCTAACATCATGAAAAGCCTATCTAGTAATTTTTTTGTAATAACATCTTTGATTGTGTTATTCATAGCATTTGTATAAAGGGTTGTATTGCTAGGTATATTTTCTAGTGCTAACTTATTTAATATAACAAAAGATTTATTCTCGAGCTCCTCGATGAACTTACGGACGTTTCCTTGGTAATTCGTGTTGTATAAGCGTCGAAGGAGTTCTTCAAATGGTGTCCGCACTTTGTATTCTTCAATCAATGCGCTTCTCAGCTCCTGCCAAGTGTTGGCTGCTGTCCTTTGTGATATTCTCTGAGCATCTCCTGTGACTTGCAATTCGATGGCTCCGTATAAGATGGTATGTTGTCTAAAATCTCGGGTTGGATACAGGTGTAGGATGTAATCTATAGTTTTAATGAAGGCGTTTAGTTGATTCGTTGATCCGTCAAAGCTTGGCACCTGTCTAAGTTGTGAAAGGGCCTGGTTGAGGTGTTGTTCTGATAATTCCATGGTCATCTTGGTGTAATACACTTTTTTTGAATAGTTTTGAGTTTGTAGGTTTGAACATTATTTTTCTTTGATTTTGCACTTTTATTTTAGGTTAAAGTTTGTGATGGATTATTGTGTAAATTTTTTTTTGTTTATTTTTTTTGTGTGTGTGTCTTAAAAAGACTCAGTAATAACGTATTGCAGGGATCAAACGATATGCAAATCCAGTCGTTATTAACTGTAGTAGCTTTATTGCCCAAAGGGTCAATATTATTAAGCTTCTAGTGACCCGAAGGTTCTTGGGCGGATACGTATTCGAGAAAATGTTTATTACACTCCGACAACACTTTCGGTCGCGATTGTGCGTTAGATCTGGGAATTAATTATCCTTTAGCGATCTTAACTTTTTCCCGACGTATCCTACCGGCTGCGCCAATTAAGTTTTACACGTTAGGTTACTATAAAAAAATATATTTCAATTTATTATTTTCACTTAACGGCTACTTTTGTTGAGTACATTCAGATTTGCTTCCCGAATATGAACTGATTTATCTAACTGTTGCGGTCGCTTAGCAAACTTCGCTTTGAAAGAGTTTGAGTCAAAATTGAGTGAAGTTTGAGCTGCGTCAGCAATTATGCGTGGGATAGTACTCTGATGGGAGCATTGACAGTGGCGTGATATTTAGGGTGAATTGTTTATGTCTACCAAAAGGGGGACAGTTTGATCTTGACCAATGTCGATGTTATCACCAGGCTCTTTGTTTACAATATTAGAAATGTTTATAATTGTGCTTATGCTTATGTGCTAAGTTATGTTAAAGGGTGGGTGCGACTATGGATATGTCACTATATATATATATGTATGTATATGTATATATATATATACATATATATATATTAGAGCCCAGCTTAAAAGCGCTTTTACGTTATACGTTATACGTAAAAGCGCTTTTAAGCTGGGCTCTGACAACTTAAGAGAGTGCTAAGAGAGTGGAAACTGGAAGATGATAGCTTATGACAATAATAGCCTTTCTCCACTGGCTAAGAAATGTTATATTTTCAAATTTTAATTTTTGGTAATCTGTTCGACATTTCGCCATGCTTAAATTTTACAATTTGTGGGAATATTATAATTTTAAATTTCTTATTTAAAGTTGCCGCTTGCGTTCGTTAATATATCAGCTGTTAATGGTGATGATACTTTCACATTTTTCACAACATCGATAGAAATATCGATTAATCATCGTAGATAAACACGAAATGTTTGGCGCGAATTTACACACCTTTCAAATATGTGACTTTTGTGTGTCTGTCGGGAAAACGCACAGTGCGCATTTTATTCATTTTGCCAAAAAGCGACATTTTTAGAAATGTGTAAGAAATGTGGTCAGTGGACAGAGGCATAAGTTAAATATCTTTCACCATTAGTAAGCATGACAATACATATTATATAACTATACAAATTTGATTAATATAAATATTATCTTATATTATTGTTGAAATGCTCAACATATTGGCCGCTATCTGTACAATATTTAAACACAATTACAAAACACTTTTTTTGGGGTATGTATATATTTTCTCTTTGTTTCGCATATAATTGTTTGCGAAATATATCTATACCATATACGAAAATAATTAAACGTAATTCGGCTTTTGTGAACACCTATGATTTGAAATAATTACCCAGCCTTGGTAAATATTCGGTTACATTTCGTGGACGTTGTCGGAATGCTAAAAATTATATAGAATGGCATTTTTGAATTGAAAGCTTGTAGCTTATATTAACAATAAAGTAAACAGTGCAATTTAAACTTGTTAAAGTATTATCGTTAAATATCAGTGCCACCCGACTATGTTGCTTGAAATATTTTCCATGTACATATTCATAATTTTGATGCTGCATTCTATAGCTTTACCCAACAGCACTGCTAATAAAATTATTTCTAATAGAAAATTGCTACATTTTCTCTTAAAATTATTTTATTTCTCGCTTTTTCTTCCTCTAAAAGTGTTAGAGCTGGGAAAACATCGATAGTCCTTTTTCAAAATTAACCGATTGTTTTTAAAACACGAAATACGACCATTTTATCGATAGTAGATTCAATGGTTTTCCAGCTCTACAGCAGCTGGCTGGTTAAAAACAAGTGATTCATACGCATAATAAGAAAATCACAAATAGGTAAAACCGAGCAAATCTAAAAAGAAAACTGCCAAATTCTATAAATTAAAATATTTTAATCCCTGGCATCAACACCAACAGCTTCAAACTGGGTAACGACATGTCTACATCTTCAATGGAAAGTAAGTAGTATCAATGACGCCATTTCCCAATCGCAAAACAAAAATAACACACCCTACTCTTCCATAGAACACCTTTTCAATTTAAAGTTTGCTGTAAAAGAGCTGGAACGCAATTCAAAGAAATGCGAGAAAGAAGAAAAGCTAGAAAAGGCAAAGGCAAAAAAAGCTATTCAAAAAGGTAATATGGATGTAGCTCGCATTCATGCCGAGAATGCTATTCGACAAAAGAATCAAGCCGTAAATTACCTTCGCATGAGTGCGCGTGTGGATGCAGTTGCCAGTCGAGTTCAGTCGGCATTGACAACACGCAAAGTCACCGGCTCTATGGCCGGTGTGGTGAAAGCCATGGATGCTGCAATGAAGGGCATGAATCTGGAAAAAATCTCTTCGCTAATGGAAAAATTCGAATCGCAGTTTGAAGATTTGGATGTACAAAGCTCAGTGATGGAAGGCACTATGTCTGATACGGTGACCACATCGGTGCCCCAAGGCGATGTTGACAATCTCTTGCAACAAGTTGCCGATGAAGCTGGTCTCGAACTGAACATGGAGCTACCCAGCGGTGTACAAAGTTCTACCATTGGCGCCTCCACGCAAGTCTCACAGGAACAGGATGAGCTGACACAGCGCCTGGCACGTTTGCGACAAGCTGAATAGATTGTTATGGGTGCGACTCCTTAAACATTTCTTTCAATCCAACGATAATCCCCGGAATTTGTTTTTATTTCTATAAGTATTCCAAAATTTATGTAATTAAATACCAACACAGCCTCCTAAAAACTTGCATACATATATTTAAAAGTTGAATGTATTCTGAATAACTTTATACCGTAGACAATTGTTGAAGTTGTACCGTATGGTGAGCTGTGGTTGCATTGCCATCTGACGTTTGTTTTTTAACGCGCTGTTTTCGGGGCTTGCATGTTGCTTCCGAAGTTGCATCTGTCATTGTCTGTTTACTCTTGGGTTTTGGTCCGCGACGTTTTTGCTCGGGTTTCCCCTTTGGCTGTGGCCCCATCATTGGTATTGAACGCCAATCATCACCATGTTTGTCAAGTTTTTTTTTTAACAACACCAAATCGTGTGTGCGCCGACGTAATATCTTCTTAATTCCATTTACTCTGCAATTGATGGCGCCGCCTTTAGATGTGAATGAGAATATTGCGTTCTCTATGCTTACCTCATTACGCATCGTTCATTTTCCGCTTGTATTTGCTGGCACCTACTGAATATTTTCTCCACGAGCGATTTGTACAGTTCTTGTTTTTTATGAAGCGTCATTTTATCCCAAACATGTTAAAATATATCTATTAAATTGTGGTGATCTGGGAATGGTAGAGTTGCAACTTGCGAGACGTCGATTTTATACATAATCGTGATATATCCGATGATTTTGGGAATGCGATATATATTCGACAGATGATGTTTCCGCCAAAAAACACCAAGCCTTGTGCAAAATCTCATTTTATTTACTTTAAAAATTATTACATCATAAAGTTTTATAAAATACGAAAATGCTAATATTAAACTAAATACGTTTTAAGGCAGAAGCTGTAATTGAGAAATGTAATTGTTGAAAATATTGCAATATTGCAACATTTTTTTCATTATGCTTGTATGTATTGGCAAATAATATACGCGTATGTGAGCTACGGTTAATATTCTATTCTGACTCTCACATTTTTGTACGGCAGCAATCTCTTTTTAAATTAATTTCAGAATAGTTTCATAATTTTCTCAAAATATAAACCTACTTGGTGTTTCGTCCCACACGCTAAAAATATATTTTAAAGGATATTCTAAGCTGAACGTATATGTGTTTCGGAGTTTTGCAACTGTAAAAATTATAAGAAATTAAATAAAATATCGATTCAAATCAGTTAATAAAAATATCGATAAGCATCAGATATCTAGATTACGTTAAATTTTTTTTAAGCATGGTAACTCTGAACGAATTGTAAACCGGCTGCAATTTGAGGAAAATTAGAAAGCAAGAAAAGCATTTTAAGTGTTATATGGCTAATTCAAATGCAAACCAATTGCATCTAATGAGTTCATCGACCGGAACTGCATCTCAAATGTCCACAATGGCACAGGGGCACACTACAGCGTCAGCCATTTTACACAATTTTCGAGAGTTAATCAAGGAACCAAAAGGATTGGACGATGCTGCAAACTACTTGTTCCAGGGGCTACTCGATGATGTGGTAGCCGGTATTTTTATAGAAATTCACCATTTGCGTAAGACCGGCAATCTGACAGCACTTGATGGTGTCGGCGAAGAAAATGCTGAGTCTGCGTACCGAATTTGTGAGATGCCAAATTTGGACATTTTTGGCATATCAACAGCCAAGAAGCCGATGGACTGCACCTGCCCAAATTGTGACAGACTAGTGGCGGCGACCAGATTTGCACCACACTTGGAGAAATGCATGGGCATGGGTCGCATCTCATCTCGCATTGCCAGTCGACGATTGGCAACCAAGGAGGGCTCCAGCGCTAGCTCCACCTCTACTTCAACATATTTACAGTCGGGCAATACAGGCGGTACCGATGACGAAGATGATGTAGACTGGTCATCAGATAAGCGCAAAAAGAAGTCAACACAGAACTCACGCAACAACGGATCCAAAAAGAACAATGGAAAAACATTTTAACGTGATATCGTTGAATTCTATTAAGCCTTTCTTTATTTCCTAATATATGAAATGCACCGTATAAGTAAACTTCTCAATTATTCTTCATTTACATGAGTTGTGTAAACATGAACATAGTCAATAACCAGATTGGGCTGTATCCAGGATTCCCTAACCGCTTGTTCAGTAAAAAGTTCCGTAGCCTTTACTGCTCCATTCATGAATTTCACCTGCTCTGGCATCAAGTAATCATGTGGGAAGTTGAGACCTCCACCTGCAGTCAGGCCCAACACTAAAAAACACTAAAGAGAAGTTATGAATAAATGGAAATTGTTTGTTATTAAAAGAAGAACAACGATACATTCGAAGACGTCAACTGTAGTACACAAATGTCAGTATTAAAATTTATTTATTAGTTAATTTTGTATGCGTATTATGTATACATACATTTTGGGATACGTAGCACCACTAACCATACAACATATGGTTAGTGGAAGTACGTATGTATGTATGTATGACATTTCGGATACGAGAAATAAAGAAATTAGTTTAATTTGGTAAAGGCCCAAAGACTAAACACCCTGTACGATCATAACTTCCAATTATTCATATGTTAAGAGATATGGCTTGGTTAGACAAGATTATGCTTACCTCGTTTAAGTCGAACGTCCGAAGCACATCGGGATGCGTTATTGTCCCGTACTTTAACCCGTCCACCTTAAATATAATTCGGTCCTTGTGCCAAATTAGAGTATAAATGTGAAACTTATCGCCAAATTGCTTATTGTACAAATTTCGCTTAATGGTCATATGCTCCCTGGCTCCATCTTGGGACCAAAGGACAGCACTTCCAAAGAGCACATCTCCACCGATTGGCAGGGAATTTTTATCTTGTAACCTTTTGTTGCCTCGTGCATAAACGATGCGCAAATGATTGACGTAATTATCTTCACTTTGGGTGTTCGCAGGCTGCAGGAGTAGATCTAAAATATAAATTATGACTAAGCCAAATAAACATTATATTGTTAAGATTAAACTCACAGGGAAATAGCCAGTCGCCAATGGGCAGCCTAGCTCTTATTTCCACCCGTCCATATTTAAAAGTAAAAGAGCTATGCAGTTTTGCTGAATGCACAGGAGGTATTGAAACACCTCCCTTTAGTTTTAGTGGTCCACATTGACGCATTAATTTATTAATGTCCCCATTATGTTTGCTTGTGCAACCTTCAGCAATATGAAAATGAGTATCATTCACCCAATTTGCGTATAAATACAGAAGGCCATTATTAAGTTTAGTATTCTTCATGTAAGCTACAAATTCCTGATCGGGTACTGGGTCTAAGACTCGTGAGCGTATTTCATAGGTCCAACCGGAAAGACTCTGATCATCAAAATCGTCCTTAAACACAAGAACTTGGCTGCAGGGTTGCTCTTTAAAATTCACAACCGTCTCGGATTTGATGCAATCGGACCTTTGTGGAATGTCTTGCTTGACTCCTCTCCCAGACTCATCAATGATTAAATCGTATGTTTTCGATATTACTTTATCCGTAGTTTCAAAAATTCCAAAAATGCTTAGCGTATCGTCCTTCCGGAGTTCTTTGTTAATATCTATCTTATAAACAAATGTATTGTTCGCGTTATGGTTATGGACAAATTTATAGTCTGAAGTGCATTCCTCGCCAATGTCAGTTGAAAAGAAAAATGTTTTGAGTTCGGGATCATCTGCGAAAGTGTAAAGCGAGAAATATATATCAAATAACATTTTGGACATCATTTATTTTAGCTTTTATATTCAATACCGTGTACGTTAATCTCGACTTCTTTGCCTTTCACTATCACTTCTATATCGTTTTTTTCAAAGGCGTACATAAGAGCAAAAAAGCAACCCATTAAATACAGTAGACACTTAAATTGCATTTTAAAAATAAAATAGAATATCAAGAGATGTGTCGAGTTATTGTTACTAGTGTTTTTATATATATATATATATTTTTTTTGCGGTTTAAATTGATCAGAAAACAACTCTTTGTAAGCGACGACCGGCAACTGTGACAGAAAGCGTATAATGAAAGCAGAAGTAATATACTTTTATATTTATATACCCACTTTAATGCTACTCCGGGGTATATTCATACTTAACTCAGCGGAGTACACGTCATTCAGTTAAGAGGTAGAGCTCTTAAGACAGAGCCCTTTGTCATTTACCGCTCAGAAGATTGCCCTGTGCACTAACTTAGAAATAGTCAATAAAATTTTAACAAAAGTAATTGATAATACGTTTAAAGCTGATCAGATAGTCAACATAGTCAGGCTTCCGAACGAAAAGTGTTTGGATCAAAATTAGTGTCATGGGCCTTAGCCTTAATGAGTTTCTTTAGGATTGGAACCCGCGAGAAAGTGAAACACGTAATTTGTTTATTAAATTGATCTAAGAAAACAACAATTATTTAATTAATGAAAACATATTCTTTTAAGTTTCAACATTTCTCAATTGAGACGAGTCATTTAAACGCAGCTTAGCTTGAATAAAATAAGCCAACCCGGAATTACTTGCATTTCCAAATTATTCATTTGACCTAGGCAATGCCGGGTAGTGACTTATAGTATACTTTTAAATTAGATGGAAGCAATTGAAATGTGTGTTAGGGCATTTTGTAGTCGCGTCCTTTGGACTAGAACTTCCCTCTTTATCACCGAGTAGTGATGCCAACAGTACATGCAAAAACAATAAGGTGACAGCAATAGACCTCATTCCCTCAGGTTATCGTTTTCCTCCGTAAGAGAGCCGCGTGCCCGTAGCATTACGTTTGTGGATTGAGAGCCGCCTATCTAGTCGACTACGAACAGTTGGACCGTCAAATAGAGTGCTTACCCTATAATTAATATATATATGCATTTAAAATGAATATTAAAATATGTATATTTTTTATTGGATACATTTTTGGCTGCCTAGGCGCTAACGAGAAGGAAAAATCAGATATAAAGGTTAATATAAATGGAAAATATGTTAACGTAACGCTTGGTATGTGCAAATGTTGTCATTGTTATAAATAATGTTAATTATTATAAATAATGATTGTTTTAAATATTTCGTTCATAAAGAATCACCAAATAAACAAATTGAATATTTACAGATGATCCAGAGGTTAAATCAATGTTCTTTTCAACAGAAATCAGCGATGAATGCACTTCAGACTATATATATGTTCATAGCGCCAATAACAGCAACACATTTAGTATAAGGCTTGAGAAGGAACCAAAAATAAACGATATCATACGAATTTTCAGTGTCATTGAAACCAAAGATCAAGTTATATCAAAAACGTATGATTTAAGGATTAATGCTGATGGCCATGGCACCAATGAGCAGAAATGCATACGAGAAGAGTCCGACTCAAATTCGAATAGGGGCTGTAGCGGCCGCCTTATTTTTGAGGAAAACTTCAAGGACAACAAATTGACGCATTGGACTCATGCAGTGTGCTCCCGAGTGCATACATATCATAAAGAGTTTGCAGCCTTTTTGAAAAGTGATAATAACTGCTATATAGAAGATGAAAAATTGCATTTTAATGCCACTTTGACGAACTACAAGCTAGGCGATAAGTTTACACTGCCCAGTTGTACTTATACGCAAGCGGAAAGTAGAAATTTTCTGTGTGGACCGTATACATTCGCAATAAGTCAACCCCTACCACCCATGCACTCGGCTATACTATATAATAGGAATTTGCGATTTAATTATGGTCGGATTGAGATACGTGCTAAAATGCCCATTGGCGATTGGCTCTTCCCCTGTAAGTACAAACAAAGTAATTTTATAAAGTAGTATAACTAATATTAGATATAAAGTTAGAATCAAACATGCCCACCGCAGGACTAAAATAATGTTTATAACTTTTCGCCCCTTAACTGCAATTGGGTTACTTATAATTATAATAGCCAAACATATAGAACCTTTATTTTTTTTAGCCTTTTTACAAGTTAATATTACAAAGTGATCAGAGTATTGCACTCTTCTTGCAGACTTCATTTTTAACTCTCTATTTCAACAGATTTAATACTGTACCCCATCAATAGGGATTTTGAATCGATTAATGTGTTTGAACCTCACATCCGCATGGCATATGTGCGAGGCAATCCACATCTGCACGATTATGCCCACCAAGATATTGGAGGAAATATGCTTTTTGGCAGCGTCTTCGGTCAGATAGGTGACGATTATCATGAGGCTACGGTGAATATGCCACACAAATCCGGATCACATTATGGGGATCATTTTCACGACTATACATTAATTCGACACAAGGATCGCATTATATTTAAAGTGGACGGAGTTACCTTTGGCACTATAAAAGATAAGAAGACAATCGAAAGCTTGAAGGGAACTGAGGTAAAAAGCCTTTACGAAAAGTTTACAATTAATAATTAATTATTTTACAGTACTATATCGTATTGGGTTTGACTGCTGGAGGGATATTAAACTTTAAAGAAGAATATGTAAATCTGGAAAAGAACTTCCTTGTGACACCTCAGGCTCCATCAATATTTTTAGAAAATATATCTATAGATCCATCAACATGGAAGCATCCCAAGCTGGTCATAGATCATGTGCGTGTTTATACAACACATCCCGATGAAAACTAAAATGCTTTTCCATCTAAATCACAGCAGTTTTCAATGACAATGTACATTTATGAAGAGTTTTTTATTATTGAAAATATACTATACATATTTTTAAAGTATACCTAAACATGTTATGCCGGCTTTAATAGCTTTTGCCATTTTTTATTTATTATTGTTACATATTTATGCATACATATATATGTACATTTCACGTCCATTTAGAATTTACAAACAACTGTGTATGATATCGTTTAATTTTACATAAATTCAATTTATTTCATAGAATTTATTGGTGTAATGGTCAGCCGTCCACTTTACATATATTTGCACTTGGATTATAAAATATAACTCGACTTTATTTTACCCTTTCTCTTGAGCTCTTCCAATACGCAAGGCGTACTTGCCGGAAGCGTGCGAAAGATTATCTCGCGCTTTTATAAATGAGCCAAACAAAAAACAAATTAAAACCAAAAACAAAGTTTTCTTTGGTATGTCGCATTTTGCGAATGACACTGTGCGGCATCACCCGACAAGTGGGTCAATTGGCCAGAGGTCTCACTTCCAAATACTAACTAACACCACCAGAACTACTGGATATATATGTATAGTACGGCGCTGGGCTTAGGGCATCTTCTAGTAGACCACTCCCGACTTACATTTTTATTTTTAAATATTTGAGTGAGTATATAACGTATAATAATTATACATATGTATGTCAGTTCTTATATAATCTTAAATT